CTCTCCCCCTAACCCCCCTCTTACCACCCCTTCCACCCCTTCCACCCTCTACCCCCTCTACCAACCACCACTGCCTCTACTGCCCCGCAGCTCTCTCTACCACTTCCACCCCCTACTCCTACCCCTCTACCCCCCTCTTACCACCCCGACCACCTCTATCACCTCTATCATCATTATCAGATTAATCAGAGCTGTACAGGCGGCAGAGCTGGCTGTTCAATCTCATTCATGAATTCAAAGGGATGCACATGACATCACATGAGATCATGTTACAGAGCATTTACACAGCATAGCAGTGCATGCCATGAACACAGAGATCAAAAATGAATATAGAGAAGAGTATAAGAAATGTAAATACTGTAGAGAATGTATGAAAAGAGCAGAATGATGATTAAAGATTGATATATTTTTTGCATGGAAAAGTTAGTTTTTCTACAATAAATAGAGTATATTAATGAATGTATAGGTTGTAATGAATGTAGAGAAGAGTATAAAAAATGTAAATACAGTAGAGAACATCTGTAAAGGAAAGAATGAAGATTAATATCAGAGTCATACAGCCGGCTGTTCAATCCCATCCATGGATTTGATGTGGTGCATGTGATATCATGTGAGGTCATGTTACAGGGCATTTTGCTCGGAAAAGTTAGTTTTTCTATAATATATAGAGAGATATAGAGAGATATGCAAGCGGAGCTTAATGATGAGTCCTTGTGTGATGTTAAATACAGGCCAAGTGTTGGTTATACAGGAGGAAATACAGGGGCTGCGGGGTGGTGGTGGTAGAGGCGGTGGTGGTAGAGGGTAAGGGGGTAGGGGTAGAGCAAGCAGCAAAGCGAGCGTAAGCGAGCGTTTGATGCTTGTATTAAACTATATTTAAAAGACTATTACTATGAAAGATAGCTAGCTACAGTCTAATACTACTAATAAAAATTATAAATCACTGCAGTCAGATCACTTGATTTTTTCTTCTATTTTATGGGATTTCTCTATTTTAATATATATTGAGTTTCATATACGGTGCGTATACTGTTTGTATTCTTCTTTATCTTCATTTCATCTGTCATTATCAAGTGAGTATTCATGGGTTGTTGAGAGGGGGGTGCAGTTCTACGGTCTACCTGTCATATCTAACTAACTTCAAATCTAAACATTTCGCACCGGCATCTTCTGTTAGTAGCCGGCTGCTTAAGGGGCCTCTGGTCATTCTATCTCTCAGGAAGTCTTCTCAATAATAATCACAATCGGTACCGCGGCTGCTGCCAAGGAGTGAAATGACCTTTCTCGTCCGGCTAGATCTTTCTAGCCCATATCAAGCGCCGAAGTTGTTCATCGGGCTCGATGGCGACGATGACTTAGCGCGATACCATCAAAAATATCGGGGCTGAACAAGCCATGGCCTCAAACCGATCTCATTTGCATAACCAACCGTCCCCACATAATCACCTCCTCCACACGAGTCACGACTCACGAGCAGTGAGACAGCCTAGACTATAGGACGTCTCGACGTTTGTTGCTCTTTCTAGGCTACGGAGACGATTCTATTTCGGACGTCGGACTAACATGGTCTGGCTGCCTGCTGCCACCACATACGCTAAAGCTTTAGGCGCTTGGCTTCTGTTGGGGACCCAGGTTCCGATCTGCACAACCTGGAGTAAGATACGCTAGTAGGCGTAGGCGAAAGAGAGGCGTAGGCGAAAGAGAGGCGTAGTCTCCATCAGCTTGCGGGCTAAGCAGGGATACAAACGAACCCATCCCATCCTTGAACCCATCCTGGAGGGTTATCCCAACCCAAGTGAATACCGCTGGATGCTAGATCACCAACGCATTCAACTCCCGCGCGATGTAGTTGATCTTATCCTCCTTCTTGAATAGGCATACATCAGAACAGAGCTGGGGACATTTAATGCTACGGGAATGGGGGTTTGGAATATCCATTTCGCTTCCTTAGACAATTGTCTGCGGCGAGTAACCACTTTGTACAGGGTTCAAAGAGAGTACGCTGTAAGTAGCAGCTCCAGGTCGTCCTGCAAGAGCGGGCCGCCACTGGGGCACGCTGGGAGTCTTGTAATTTCGACCGTTTTTTCTTTTCCGTTTCTTTTCACCTTCCTTTCTTCTTCTCCATCGTTTCCGTCTTTGTGATATTTATTCTCCTATTCTCCTTCGAGAGTCGCGTTGAACAATGCGCATTTCCTGATCCAATTCCGACCAAGGCTTTCACTTATCCTAATTCACTTCCACCCATTTCCCCAGGAGGGCCACCGCCAGCTCTCGCCTGCCCTTGGTTTGGAACGTTGTTTTTGGGCATACCATAGACGCGGTCGCTGTTAAGTTGTTCCGCCGGCGCTTAGCGTTTCCCTCGCCACCTATATGCAGAAGTAAAAGAAAAAGAAAATAACATATCAATACGAAGTTCAATGAGAGACGTGAGCGCAACCATGGGAAGCCAGAGATTCGAAAGTAATAAAGGTCGGATGGGAGTCAGCGTGAGCTCCTCAGACGATGCAACTAATCAGGACAAGGCGGACATGGCTCGTCTTGGGAAAGACCAACAGTTCAATGTAAGTTTGTCGGACTATATATGCAAATCATAATTGATATCGTGGATCAATTGTATGGCGAACTGTGGGCTAACATTTAACAAAGAGGAACTTCCGGTTTTTGTCAACACTCGGGTTTACCTGCACTCTCATGGCGACATGGGAATCCATTCTCTTGTATGGAGACATCAATTATTTCTTAGCTCTCTGGCAATCACCTTTTGAAAGGGAAGTGCATGCTAATAATACTTATCAAAAGGACGTCAACTCTCGGGCTGAGTAATGGAGGCCTGGCGGGATCTGTATACATTTATATTGGGTCTTTCGTCGGATTTTTCTCAACTGTAGCTTCTATGGCTGAGATGGCCTCAATGTAGGTGGTTATCTACTACCCAATCTCCCACATTTTTTTCAAATGTCAATTACCAACGACTTTGGGATATCTAGTTCTCCTACATCTGGCGGCCAATATCACTGGACGAGTGAATTTGGTGGAAGGAAATATCAAAAGTTTCTTAGTTATGCGACCGGTAAGCTTGACAAGCCGCCGGGTGCTAATGAGTCGTAACCCATTCAACGATAATACTAATCAAAAGGATATATCTACAGGTTGTCTCTCGGTCTTGGGATGGCAGGCCGCCTTCGCCAGCGTATGTTTTCTCTGCGGTACACTCATGCAGAGCCTTATACAGCTGAACGAACCTGGATATGTACCAGAGAGATGGCACGGCACTCTCTTCACCGCTACCGTTGCTCTTGCAACCACGTTCATCAACACGTACATGGCGAGCCATCTACCTATGCTGGAGGGCCTGATTCTTATTCTCCATATTTTTGGGTTCTTTGCGACAATTATCCCACTATGGGTTATGGCGGAACGGACACCGACTAAAGCTGTTTTTACCGAGTTCACAAATGCGGCTGGGTGGCCTACTCTAGGGCTGGCCTGTCTTGTTGGTCAAATAAGTCCCATTTTCTCATTCCTTGGTAAGTCTAAGAGCATGCCATGATATTATATGTCTTACGATAGTATGTGCTAATTTGATTTCTTGTGGCCATCTCCCAGGCCCCGACGCTGCTACCCATATTGGTATGTTTTCTCTCCTGATCCCTGAGTGAACTTTCAACAGAGTTATACGAGCTAACACATCGCTTCAGCTGAGGAGATCAAAGATGCTTCCAAGGTTGTGCCCTGGTGCATGATTTCTACCGCTCTTATAAACGGCTCCCTTGGCTTCATCATGCTTATCACCTATCTCTTCACCATGGGCGATTTGCACGAGGTCATTAAGGCTGAAGCCGGATTTTCGTTCATTACCGCCTTCTTGAACGCAACCGGCTCCAAGGCCGCAACCACCACTTTCGGTGGCCTCCTCCTTGTGATGGAGGCTTGCGCCGCTATTAGTGTTTTAGCTACTGTGGCACGACAAACCTTTGCCTTTGCCCGTGATAATGCACTTCCGTTCTCCCCTTTTTTCGCCCGTGTGCACCCAACATCCAAGGTCCCTGTCAACGCCGTCCTAGCCTCGACTGTCATTACGATTCTACTCTCGCTCATTAACATCGGCTCAACGGAGGCATTCAACGCGGTTGCATCCCTCACAATCGCATCTCTTTTTACGTCGTACCTTATCTCTATCGGCTGCTTTATCTACCGCAGGATGCAGTGGAAGAAAATGCCACGAGCGCGATTCAGCTTGGGGACCTGGGGCCTTCCAGTTAATATTTTCTCGTTTGGCTACCTCTGCTTCGCAATTGTGTTCACTTTCTTCCCGAACAGTAACAACCCCACGCTCGTCAACATGAATTGGTCCATTCTTGTTTTTGGGGTTGTGACGATGTTCGCTGGCCTTCAATATCTGATCCACGGAAGGAAGACTTATGAAGGCCCGGTGGCGTATGTAGAAAAGATAGAATAAATGGGGTTGCTTTTTTCTCCATGCCCCTTTTTACTATTTTAATCGACTACGGAAGGCCTTGTGTGAATTTTGAGAAATGGACAGAACTGGTTCCGCTTTTTCCCCACTGTTTCGCGCTCTATGTTCTTTTTTCCCCTTCATCATCGCTCTTTGGGAATTTCTACACGGGAAATTCTCCTTTATATATATACCAAGGGCCTTACATATATATGCACCCGTTCACATATAAATGACGAATTAGATTGTGACTTGTTATATGTTAATCGTTTCTCTGTTAAATATTTCTAATTTCGATGTCTTGCTTCTGCACTTGACTTCAGAGAGGGTAGATGAGATGACCTCATCTGCTCTCTTCCGCAAAAACAACGGCGAGTTTTCCCGGGCTTTCTTGCGCAAATCCCTCCTCGGTTCGAGATCCATTAGAATGTATCACTCACCATCGATATATGGGCCGGACGATAAGATGAGCGACGGGAACTGGGTGGGAAGGAGGATTTGGTGGGGAAGAGAGGGGGCAATTGAAGATGTCTGAAAAAAACTGTTCGCTTCCTCGCGATGGATAGATATTCCCAGGTAGTGCTGAGATAGGCAGCAGGTGAGAAAGGATGCTTAGGTGAGTTGTTTCGTTTTCGTTGGTGGTTGGTTTTCGGGCTACTGGGGCCGTAATAATGCGAATTCCGAGCTGTTGAAGGATTGCCTGGGCTGTACGATCAATTCGTTTTGATTGATAGTTACAGGGGAAATTAATTATCTGCAAAGCGTTAACTAAGCGCGAGGAGGCGTAATCAATGTGCAAAAAAATAATAATAATAATAATAATAATAATAATAATAATAATAATAATAATAATAATAATAATAATAATAATAATAATAATAATAATAATAATAATAATAATAATAATAATAATAATAATAATAATAATAATAATAATAATAATAATAAATAAATAAATAAATAAATATAAAATAAAAATAAAATAAAGATAAAGATAAAGCATGAGTAGCCAAGGATGCTCCTTGCCAGCGGCCAAACAGGCGCTCAGAAGCATCTAAGTTAATTGAATAATATGTGCCAAAACGGAATCATACTCTCTATACAAATATATTTAAAGGCAAAGACATCGCGACTGCGTAGTTCGGCATGTCCACAATCTCTACAATTTTGAGATTCCCCGCCACGCTCGCCAACATATACGCTTCTTCCCGAGTTAACTCCTTGTTCCTGACTAGCCACTCAATGAGACTTCGAGTCGCCTTCTTTGCTGCCTCGAGCAGGTCTGGGTCAATCCCCATAGTCGCATATTCCCCTTTATCTGCCGGCAGCGCCTGGTCAGCGCCGTGTATACCCGCCGCCGTTCGCGGGGTTGTCTGAAACTGCGGCGCTATTAACCATGGCTGGTTCTTGTGAATTGAGAGTCGGAGGGTGGCTTTCAGAGGAGTTTCAATAGCGGTGCCGCAAACTTCCCCATCTCCCTGCGCTATATGTCCGTCGCCGCAGCTGAATAGTGCGCCGGGCGTTTGGATGGGGAGAAATAGCTTGGATCCCACGGTGAGATAGCGACAGTCGATATTCCCGCCCGCATTCGTGGGCGGGATCATAGAAAATTCCCCCTCCGCCCCCGGGGCGACGCCCATAACGCCCAAAAATGGCTGTTGTGGGATCCGGATGCCTTCTTTGAAGAGTGCATAGGGCTTGTCGGGATCCAGTTGCCAGATCTTCAGCGCCCCGTCGGGAAACTCATCCGATAAGAGGCCAAAGCCAGGAAATATTCCCGTCCAACCCCAATCCGTGGTTTCCAGGTCGAGGATCTCGACTTCCAGAACATCGCCTGGTTCCGCGCCTGTGACAAAAACAGGCCCCACAGCAGGGTCAGCGCGCGCGATGTCGAAGGTGCTCAGTGCGCTCTCTGTGGAGGTCTTGGTTATTTGGCCGTTGCTCCCGTCTATGGCGTCGAAGTGGACTATGTCGCCTGAGTTGATGGTTTGGACTGGGGGAATTTGTTTGGACCATTTTAGATGGTGCTGGTGCCGATGGATGTGAATGGTCTTGGAGGGTATTGCATGGGTCATGACGGGTGGTCAGAGAGATTCTTTTAAGGCGTCCAGATATGATGATGAAATGTATTTCCAAGAAGAAGATAACCCTTGGAAAAAACGGCGGTTATTGCTCTCTCTTTCAGGCCAACCGATAGGACCACAGCCTTGGTTCGCGCGTAATTGTACAGATTTTAGAATGTGAAAATAAGAATTTCGAAAATGTAACTTAACGGTGTGCAGTAGAATATAGTTAATATATGTCAACCAAATGAGAACAAAATGAGAACGTATCCAGGAGATATCAGAGATGTCCAGAACAACGTCCGTTGATATATCATCCAACGTGTGATGATTTCCCCGCTATGTTTTTCTAGTCCCCCGCCCTGGCCTCCTTTTTGGATATTTTCTCGGAAACTTAATAGAAGCTTGAAATAGTTAAGATAATCCACCTCCCTCTTTTGGTCAAGCTGCGTTCTGGAACTAATAATATAGTAGCATGGGCTCCTCGTCGTCTTTTGAGTTCAGAACTGCTGGCAAACTAAATATTTTACAAGCACATCTGCCCCGCCACATCACAAAATGTCAAAATTCCAGCTACTAAGCAGTCTAGTCTTCACCACGAGCGCGCTATTACGCGAGGGAGGTGGACTCTTTAGTGACCTTCATTTTTAAGTTAAACGCGGTCTTTCAGCAAGGGAGAGGAAGAAAATGAAGAAAATCTATTGAATCGTTTCAAGGGTGAGAGAGGGGTTATGAGTGATGAGATTTATCCTGACGATGCAATAACGACGAATACTTTAATGTACTGTACTATAACTACCTCCTGGGGTTGTTTCATATGTGCCCACAATCCGCTCTATGCTTTGTTTTCCGTCATTGAAATAGCATTTGGGGAGGGTTTTTATTAAGGATAACACGCCCTTACCCGTAGTCGTTAATAGGCGATCAAAGACAATGCAGCGTCCAGGGAGGTTATGCGTAAGTAACGCCGTAAAATAATATAAAATAGATCGCAAATGGACAGGGATGATAGCTTTCACAATTTAAGAAGCTGAGGCTGAATTTTATACTATATAGCCTGAAACTGGGAAAGAAGGTCCAAGTGGACAAATAACATATCATCATTGCTGCACTGTATGGCGCTAACCACGATCCTAAGTTATAGCATTTTCACTAAGGAGTGCGGATGTAGTTGAGCATAGAATGTTACTTGACATGACATCCTGTTGAAAAGCAGTAGACCGCTGTCCATATTTTCCATCTAGATTTGTGGAAGCTTTTCTCTTTCTGGGCCCAATTCGAGACCGGCTGAGCCCATATAAACTTATCAAGCTCCTACATCGAACAAGTATCTCGGTTATCCCTTGGCAAAAAATAAAAAATAAAAAAATAAAAAAAAATAAAAATACAAACAGTTAAGACCAGCTGAAATCAGCTGGTCTAGACTGTGGGACGATGATACAGCCTGACATCGTTTCTGATTGTGAAGGTAACAACAACCAATTCCCCTCACAAAGAGGAAACTTGTCGGAAGAACTCGGGTTCCACAACAATTGACAAAGATGGCATCCGCCTCCTGTCGAAGGCGGCAAATCCCCAATGAACAGAATGTGAGCAGATATCTGCACCAAAATATTCGTCAAGTCGAGAACGAACCAGCTAGCCACCAACACATGAGCATTCATGAAATAACTGTGAACAAAGGAAGAGTATGCTTTAGGTGCTGATTGCATCGGCTGCGAAACAATTTAACAAAGTCAATGGAATGCAGCAAATGGCAATGCGATACCTGATTGATCATATCTGTTAAAACCGGGGGTATTAAAATGGTACAGTTGGGTCTAAGAGAATTGATATTGCACAGTCAGAATGTGTAAAGCAATTAGGAGGGGGGTGGAGTCTTCTCACCCGGTTAAAATGTTCTCTAATCTAGCGTAAGTCCTCTCAGGCGGCTAGGATAAAATATATTTACAAACCTCAAGATCTTGCGACACGTTTGACGTTATGCTCCTCTTGGAAGCTTGACACGCACGCCTGAACCTCGGCTTTGCGTAGCTTGCTCTGTGGATTTATCATAGTCCGCAGTGGCGAATGTGTTGCGCAGGAGAAACGCTTGCCAGCGAAGCACTGGTAATATCGGATCAGCTGCAGGCCCTTGGCATTTCCAGAAAACCGGGCTTTGAGCCGTCAGTTCGGCTGTATGGATCTTAATACTCTTTTAAAATGATTGACGGATAGCCCTATTGCGTCGAAAGTAAGCTAAGATCATGAAGCCAGGCTCAGGCTGGAATCGAACTCCAATGCTGCAGCACATTTTTAGGAATGTGGCTGAAACAAGAGCAAGGCTAGACACCTAGAAGAAAATAGGTATGATGAAGGAGATCGATTCTAATACCTGTCCTTCCTCCATCCCCTATTTCAGGTCCGAAATGGGAGGGAGGCATTCTCGTGAAGTATTTGCATCGATGCATTCCAAGTGGGTTCTTGCCGTTCAAGGGAGAACAAAATTTCCCGGAAAATATCTTCTCACGTAAGAACCCAAATGTTATGTTGGACTTTTCTGCTGGAATAACTGAATTCAACTCATGTGGGGATTGGTTATATTTTGTTGGATGAATACATCCAGAACTAAGAATAACTAACCCTGCAATGGTGATGTGCACTAACTTGAGCCTTGTCCCATGCTAGACACCGATAACTATAGCCAGAGTGGAGAAGACAGGTTGGAATAAGGTTGAGGCGTATCTAACTAGTCAAACCTAACCAGCAATAACTAGTAGAGGTATTTAAATCGAAGTCAGTCGAAGGCACACGGAAAATGGCCGCCACCAAGGTCTCCTCTGGGTTGGAATAACTAGAACAGGCCAGGTATATCTCAAGATCAACAAGAAATGCAATGTTGGTCTGACACTGGCCCCAAGTGAGCAACACAAAGCACCGCTGGGCCGTAGTCAATGGCGCTATAAACATAAACCGAGCTTCGTAGTCAAGGAGACGGACGGATGTCAAGATTTTGCTAGTTACCTAGTTAGGGCTAGTGACATCTCGTGATCTGGTTGAGCCCCTGAAAATCGCTTGCCTCGATCTTGGTCGGGCCCCCTGAGTTTTAGTATTCCCGCTTTTCGTTCCTCTCCCCGTGCTCTCCTGAGAGTAAAGGAAGACGGGTTGCCGACGTGGGATGTTGATGAGCAAGTTCGTCTTCCTTCAGGTGATGCTGTATAAGCCTCTCTGCTTTCGAGGCAAAGTGTATGGGCTTTGCAGGCATGTTGCGTTTTCTTATGCTGCCCCCGAACGGACTGCCGACATCCCAAGCTCGTGTAGATGCTGCTGGATTTCCTGGAGTAAAAAGTGCCTCCAGCTACCATTCGAATTATCCCTGGGTTCTGATGAGACATGTGTGCGTGCGTCAGAGTTAATGATTGGAGACCAAGGCTCGATGGACACCAACTGCAATAACAAAGCCTATACTGGACTGAATAGATTAGATTATCTAATACGTGCGGCAAGCCCCAATTTCTCATCCGATGATTGTTTAAACGTACCCAAGTGCGCATACCTAAGCCTAAAAACATTTAGCAGAAAAATGATGACTGTTTTTCCATATATGGTACCAACGGATGTTCTCGAAACTCGATTTTCTCCCTTCCTTCAACGGCACCGTGGGGAAATCATTTTAGGCCACTATGGAGTCACTTGGTAGCCTGAACATGGACGAAGAACGTCTTTTTGTGCTCCGAACCTCTTCCCACGACCCTCGAATGCACCATATATCTCACCCATGGATATAGTCGTTAGGCCCAAGTCGAGAGCGGTTGATTCTTTTTTTCGTTATGGTTTTATCCATCAAGGCGGTGTAAACGTCCCTCTTCACTTTCGGTTTCCATTTTCCGCATCTTTTTATTCCGATATGCGATGGTTTGGTTGCAGCCCTTTACCTACTGCTCGTTCCAGCGGAACTGCTATCCCTAGGGTATAAGGATATGAATGCCCATAAATATGCTTTCCTTTTTGGAAATGTTCACCAGATAGAAGAGGCATCTCCGAATAGGTACCCACGCCCCACATTACCGATGTCCGTCTGGATCTCCTGCGGAATATGACCTCAACACCTCTGCAGGGCAGGTATCCCATACCATAACCTTTGGTGGTAATTGGCGCACCCATTTGAATAACTGAGTAGGGTTAAAGAACCGAAAAACTGCAGCTTGGAGTTAAATTAATAGGTAATGAGAAAACTAAAATGTGACTTGTTATTAGTGCACCTATTCGCAGTGATTTCTTTTATCCTTTTTATTCAAAATAATATAAATAAGTTTCCAATGCATGTCCGTCTAGGGGGAGAATCGGGAGGATTTTTGAGAAACCAACAAGAAGAATAGTGACGAACAAATTCGGGGAGGGGAAGGAAAGGGAGAGGAAAAGAAGAAAAATTGGAATGGATGATCAAATGAGGAATTTTTCACAGCCTTTCTCTGCCAATAAGCACATTTGCCTAACTCGCAAGAGAAAACTCTAGTCAGTCACCTTAAAAATGAAGCAAATCTCACCGGGAATTGAGGAGAAAAAGAACAGAGTCATGGCTGGCCACTTCGTTTTGTGAAGAGAGAGAATGTTTCAGAGCTCACGCGAGTTTTTTTCTAAACCATCATTGTTCACCGCCGTATTCCGGAACAGACATTGCCCGAACTAGTATGTATATCTGCATTAAAAGGAAGTAAGAGAGCTGAGAGAAACCTTGCAAAAAAGTAACGAAAACAATAATGAGAAATACAATGGCCCGTGAAGAAGAAAGGAAGAGAATAACTAGGGAAAGAAAAGTGAAAAGCCAGAACTTCGCCCCCGGACCCTCAGATAGCAAAATATCTGCTTCTACTTCCTTTCTCCTGTGCCGTCGGCTGCGAGGGCTTGAATAGTCGGAAGTCTCCAGACAGGGACCATCCTGGCACGATCCGGTCCTACGGCCAATCATTTTCATTTGCCTCTGAGTAGGTGTTCGATGAATGGAGAGACGTGCAGGAGATTCCATGCATGGGGGTCTTGGCTAGTTTCGTTTTTATCTTAAAATATTTTTTTCTTTTTCTGTTTTCCTTTTTTGCTCATTCCGCGGTGATTTACATCAATTTTGAGAGTTAGATGGAAAAGAATTTAGAACGGGGAAGGGCTCCATAGTGGGCATGATTCACGAAGAGAGCGATGGTAAGCATAATTAAGTAGACGATGGGGCGCGCTGGATGGTACCAGATTCAACTACCCGCATTTCGAAACGGGAGGGAGAGCAGGCTGATCGGCCTGGGGATACCAAAGTGAGAATTTCTTAGCGCTGTTGAAGCCTTCGGGCTTGACCAAGGCAGTTGTGGATTAGGCATCGAGGATGGTGTCGATAAAGTACATGTACATGTACATGTACTGTACTGTACATCCACATGTCCTTACTGCAGCAATCTAAGGCAGAGATTCCGATGATACCTGCCTTGAATGCAGCAGCCAGCCGGGGATGATTTTGGTACCCAGCCGTTGATCCGCCCGAGGGTTGGATGGAAAAGGACGTACCCCGCGGTAATGCAAGTATGGTCTGTGATTTCTGCACGGGAAAGCCGGACATATGGACAAGTCAAACTGACGTCGTTCCTCTATCATCGAGGTGAGAGTTAAAAACACGGCATATTCATGGTTTCACCGGTGAGAGAGATGATGAGCATTGAGCGGATCTAACGAACAGGAAGCCGAAAACGAAGAAGGTGGACACGATACCATTCTCGTATGGCGTTTTGTTTGCCTGAGGAACGTCGTCATTGACGGGCCAAGGTTTGGCCAGAACGAAATTTCAGTTTGATGACCCCCCACACACCCTTCCTCAGAAACCCAGGCAATAACAAGGGGCATGTTATCCTAGAGTTTGGGCAATCAATGTAGCGACCGTAACCCTGCAACCCTGTTTTTATTGCGTTTTTAGAACCCCTCAGTAATTAACTGGTGGTCAGCGGCGGCAGGGGAACAATCGAAGGAAAAAAGTGGAAGGTTGCAAAAGTGCTTTAACTTGCAGCCATGTCCTTCTACCGAGAAAAAAGCAACTTCATCCCTAAGGGTATTATTTCACTCGCACAACGGGCCACAATAATGGCCCCAGTGTTGCACAGATGCACACAACAATGGAGTGGCCCAAGGCTCGCACACTAGAAACAGCATGATGGAGCGTATCCAGGCAACAGAGGACAAATTCAGTGCGATCAAAGAACGAAACTGGAAGCAGTTGCACCTCTGTTGAATCTTAATAAATCCCTTTGAGGGTTTGCTTTAACCTCCATCGTATAATCATTGAATAACATCTCGAAGATAGTGTCATCTTATATCGATTCAAGACAAGCCATTCACCCGGGATTCTACACATATCAAGAAAAAACACCAGTGAGAGGTCGGCGTATCTTGCCCATCTTCAAGTCAGCACGGGTCTCAGTTGGAACTCTCATAGGAAAGAGCACGAAGTATATAATATATGCATGCAACAAATACATGCACGATATTAGTCGGAAGATGACGGTTTAACATGGTTCGAATTTGGCTCAGCCAGAATGAGTTAAGGTTCCGGTATCGTATTTCGCTTGGGGAGTTTTGAGGTTTCCAAAACGGAGTTTGTCCATCTGTTGAAATTTAAAGGTTAGATGAATGAATGGTTCAGAGATAGCCATCCGGTATAGGTTGAGGTTTGACAACCAAACTGGTTCCAGAAACATTTTCAGCAACTGCAAATTAGAGAAATATAATTCCAGCAGCTGCAAGGTCTGGTTAGAGCACATTTGTCATTACTCGATCGAGGTACCTGGTGAAGATGAAAGACGTAGAAGCGCCCACAATCTCAACGGGTACGTGCACCACCAGTAAGCTACTCTGCAAAAATATAGAAGAGAAGGTAATAAGGAGCAACGAAGGAGAATATCGCGATGTCATGAACCATGGGACATGTAGGCAAATAGGAGGACCCGGAAAAAAAATTACTTGTTGCATTTCAGTTTCCCATTTACTATGAACGGAGGCTGTTAGCACTTCAAACTCTGTCATCTAGTCAGATATCTCAGATATGTGTTAACAGGGCCCTCCATTCGTAAGGGATGTCTCCTGTTTGGTGTACTGGACCGTCACATACAGGTGTACAGCCAAGGGCAAGTGCAACGTCTGAAATCATGAACATAGCACAAGTGTGAAACGAGAAAAACGGCGCTATGGCGGTGTTGGCACCGATTATGATTATGATAGCGTCCCAGCCAGCCCTGCCTTAGCCGGGTTTGCGAATTGCGTTCTCATCGACTCGATTGGTCATCTCGAGATGGCTTTGAAGAGAAATGTCGGGTCATCTCCTTTTGATTGGTTAACGTAAGTTCGGTTGGTGATTTTCACGGGTCCGTTGAATCCTTGCAGGACATGGTATCTTTTCCTGTTCCTTTTTTTTTAATCCCTTTCCTCACTCTTCATAAGTGTACTTACAGTGGAGGGTGGTTTATTATTCTTGACGGTGTGCAGGAAGATTAAACGAGCCAACCCTCGGGGAGATAACAATATTTGAGTTCCACACCACCCAGTCCGCTCGCTCCCGTTGATGCAATCCACCAGATTGTCCTCCGGGATTCGTGAACTAGGCTTACCTTGCATAACTAGCTTGGTCGTTTTCCAAAAACGGTCCATGACATAGGGCCGGCTTGGTGCCGTTTGGTGCTTTTCTTTGGTGTAGGTATCAACTGCGTACTGGATTGTAGCCAACAGCCTCATGTGTCCGCTGGAATTCGAAGTTTCTCACCCAGCCCGTCAGCCTAGGGGTGTTGACCCTAGAGAAGATCTGTGTTTAATCTGGAGCCGTTGAACCCAGTTGATCGATGCTTTGACGCCCCATCGGGGAAGCTGCACGTACATGTATGTAATGTACATGCACAATGTACTGTACATGTACGTGTACATAGTGCTGAGTACAAGCCGGGCAGACAAGGCCTAGATCGGAGAGAGTCATACTTAGGGACCTGAAAGGCTTCTCTTCCTGCTTTAGTGCCTCACTGGGTCTCAAATTCCCTTGTAGTCTCTCAGAAGTGTGTCCCCCTCCTTCTGTCCAGTTTTGAATGGGAATTGGTTTTGGGACGCAGTATTCCAGCAACCCCTAGGTATTTTCCAACCCCTCCTCTCCATAACTGTCCGGTGTGGCTTAGGGCGTGCATAAATAAATCCCGACATGCGTGGCTCCCAAGGTGCATGCGCTCTGGGGAATTTCTTCCGTCCCCAGCGCACGAAATTCGGAGCCAATGGGCTGGAAAGCAAGAATGAAAATGTGCGCACGAGATTATGGTAAGGTTATCCACATTTCAAGGGTGGAGGAAGGATCTCCCACGCACCCATGATGTCTAGGAAGCGGAGG